CATTTTATAACTAATGCCTAAAGGGCCATAGGCTTTATTGTTTGAAAGCTGAACTAGTGTTAAATTAACTTCATCAGTGGTAAATATATAAAGAATATTGTTATACTATTTAGTATTGATGTTTGGTTTAGAATTATATTTATTTTGCTAATTAAATTTATATATTTGTTAATATATCAGTATGATGTTTATTGATTAAAGTGTTGTTGGATATGAAGTTTAATATTAAATATATTAGTAATAAGATTATTGTCTATTCTAATGTTGTCAAATTTGACAGAATCTTTATGCCAGTTAAAAATATTATTGATATAGAAGTGGAACTTAATTGTAGTTTATTATATATTTTAGTAATATTGTTATCAATTTGTTGTTTAATTTCTTTAATGTTTTCTATGTTATAAGTATAGTATAATGTTTTTTATTCATTTTTGGCTAAACCTAACTAATTTGTTACTAGGTTATATTCTGCTAGTAGTGGTAAAATGTTAAAATTACAAGATGTATTAATATAAATAATAAGTTGGTTATGATAAAGTGAAATAGATGTTAAGTATTGAAATTCATGTTTGGTTTGTCAAATAATATTGCCAAGTTTTTTAAGATAATGATGTAATTTTGAAGCTTTTGTAGAAAAAATATATTGGAAATTTCTGAGCATAAATTTTTTGTTAGAAATGTGTTAAAAAACTGTAGTAATAATACTATTTTGAATTTAAACTATGTTGATTTCAAAAATTCTAAGGTTTGCATATTAAGTAGTATTTGGCTAATAGTTAGATTTGAAGTTACTTGATCTGAAAAAAGTTGCTATTGTTTATTATTTATGTTTTTATATAAGAATGTTCTTTATTGAGTTTTGGTTAAATAACAGAGTTTGTTTAAATATATATAAGAAAAGACCAATTAGAAATAAGAATTTTGTAGTTACTTTAAGTATTAGTATTAGAATCTTCAACAGTAAAGAAGTTAAAATAATGAAGAAAAGGTTGGTTATCCCAGATATAGTTAATGTTACTACTATATCTACTGCTTTGCTATATAGGTATAGAGGATTATATATGACTAGCTAAGTTATATAAATTATTATATTAAGAAAATGAAGTAGTTTATATTTAATTAAAGAGAATTGAATAAGATAATCAGATGCATTAAACTTATCTAAGATAATAAGTTGTATATTTAGAGTAATAGCTTATTAAATCTATTGTATAATAGTATTTTGTACTGATAGTCTAAGTTGGAAGTTATTATATAGTAAATAAATTAAAATAATTCTAAACTTGAAGTTATGTTTAAAGAAAAGGTCTATTGTAATAGCATATTTTGTAAAAAGTAGGATTTTGTAGATGTGGCATTTAATAGATTTATGAATCATAATAGCTGTTCTAGCTTTTGGGTTATTAATACAGGACTAGAGATAAGTAAAATATTAAGATTTTTGTAGTTTGGTTATAAGGTTATTTGCAGTAATTTTAGTTTCTGTAATGCTAATAATTTTAAGATTGTTGGAGAAACAGAAGTCTTCTCAAATTTGTTGTAAATAATTAAGTGTGAGTAGAAATTTATTAGGAAAATATAATTAATATGATCAACTGCATAAGCAGCTAATCATATTGGTTATACTTTCTCAATAAATTTCTACTTATATTCAATTATTTAGAATATAACTAATATATATTTTTAAATACTATAATAAGAATTACTTAATTATAAAATTATTTTTAAGATAAAACAAGAGTTACTGTTTTGCTTGGCTTTAATGCTTTAGAAACACATCAACTTAAACCATAGGTAATTGGTAAATCTTCATGATCACAATGTTTCAAGTTTATTAATTTAAACTCTCTTTCTGTTAAATATCATGCAAATCAAAAGACATAGATGTGCACTGACATATTTAAAGAATGGCTTCAAGAATTAAATTATTATTTTTAACTTAAAAACAAAAAAATTTTTTACTACTTGATAATGCTGCCTTACACTTTGATCCAAATGAAGAACTTACTAATCAAAATAAAGCCAATTCTGATCTTAAATATGAAGAAGCTGAATTAAGCAAAACTGCTAGCTTATCTTCTAATGCATCTTATAAAAAAAATAGATCAAATAATATACCAAAACAATGTAGAAAACAAAATTATCAATCACACTTAAATCTAACTAATATTAAAATTAAATTTTTATCTCTGTATACAACATCTCACTTGCAGTCAATGGATGCAAGCATCATAAAGAGCTTTAAAAGCAAGTATAAAGCTCTTTATTGCCATCATATTTTAATGCAGTATAAGGCTAGTGAGAATATTAATGAGTAAGGATTTTTTTTGCATTACTATGTTTTTTAACTAATATATACATAATAGTGCTCCAAATAGTTTAAACTATAGTTAATTATTTTTTATATTATTAAGATAATTATAAAGCTTATTTTAAATAGTACTTTAATTCCTATTAAAATGTTTACTTTTAATTAGTTCATCAATAAAATTTGGTGTGAATATATAACTTATTTTAATGAAAATATATTTGGTAATAGAAAAATTATTACTGAATTGCACTAATATAACATATTTCTATAGCACGTATATTCCTATAGGCTGTATTCTGCAGCAATTTTAAATACCAAATTATAATTTATACTCAGGTATATAAGTATAGGGGCATTACATTTATATATCCAGACATATAATAATAAACTATACCAAGAACATAGAAGTATTTGTACAATATATCCTCTCTATAAGTACCTGAGTATATAACATGAGCTAGAAGAATATTTAGATATATATATATAATAATATAATAAGTAGAATATATTTATAATTTATAATCAATACAAAAATAGTGTATTTATATAGTGGTTCTTAAAATAAACTTTGCATTAAACTTCTTCAAAATTCTGGTTAGATATAAGTTAATATATATATGAAGGCTACTCACTATAGATAATTTTAGCAAAATATATTAAGTTAACTATTATTATAATTTAGGAATTGAAGTTAAATAAGTAAATATAAGGTTATTAAATCATGTTTATAAAAATTTGTTATTATATATTTTATTTAGGATGTTTTTAAACAGTTTCTTCAATATAATTAGCTTGCGATTGAGATGTTTCTCAAACTATTATGATTAATTGAGTAGTTAATGTGATTAATTGAAGGACAGCTTGTTAAAAATCTATTGTGCAAAATGTGAATTCTAAATTATTACTAATTAGAGCAATTTTATAAAAAAAAAGATAATTTACATCTTTAGGCTTTATTTAGCAAAATAGTAATTAGCTTGTTTAGTTTATTCAATTTTTGACTAATTCAAATTTTGCTTTTGATCTATTGATTGAAGTGCTTGAAAACACTCTTAATCTTATTTAATTATATCAATTTAATTAATGCTTAGTTTTACTAATAACTAAATATATTGATTAATAGTATATATATGATAAAAAACATCAAATAAATAAAAATTAATAGTAAGTAGCTTATTTTTTTTTTAAAAAACAAATAAGTTTAAATTACTTACTTGCTATTAATTTAATATTCAGGAAAATAATCAAAAATTACTAAGATCATAAGGTTAGTAATGTTTTGGATAATTTATTTACTGTATATGCTTTAAAGTACTTTTAAAAATATAATAAATATAAAAAACACTAATCATTCATTCAAAATAAAAATGAAACTAGTGTTAAACAAGTTAACTGTGAACATTCAAATATGAGATATAGCTTGAAGTGCAAAGTCAGTAAAGTGTCAATAGAATCAGAGTTGAGATAAAAAATTCATTATCAACAATTTACAAAAATAAATAATGTTAGTAGAATATTTTAATGTTATTATTATTATAACTTCAGAATTGGTATTGCAAAATTAAGTATAAAATATTAAACAATTATTAGAAACCTGAACCAATAATTCTCTTCATACTGATACCATTCATACTGCTACTCATTGCTATATTGAAATATTCAAATTCAATGCTTTATTATAATCCTGATTTCTATTTTATAACAAAAAACAACATTATATATTTCAGAAACATTATCCAAATCAGGGATCACTTATGCTTATTGGTAATTTATTTCTACTTCAAAATTAGTGTTGAAAGTTTGAATATATAGATCCAATTACATATTTGAATTTTTAATACTTTAAAATAACAATGACCAACATCTTGTATGCAGTCAGATTTTCTAACTATTTTTATATTATTTTCAAAAGCCTTTTTCTATTTTTTTGAATATCAAAAGCATTTATTTATTATCAAAAATCTGCAAGATAGGATATGTTGATAAAAGATATAATATTAATATTCATTATTAACATAAAATAAAGTTAAAAAGAATAAACATAATGCATTTATACATTATTAAAAATCTACTAACTAATGGTATTTTTTTTATTACTTTATAATTTAGATTAATATATTTGTAGCCACAACTATTGTAGCCACATCCTATAAGAGCTAATTAATTTTTAAGATCAGGTGTAATATAACATAATCAGAAAATTCAAAACAAACATTTGTTTTGTTACAAATTGTCAAAAATCAGGTATAATTCAAAATTAACTATATAAAACTACCCTTTAAGTTTTAACAAAAAAAAATTTCTTGCTAAATTTTATTATAAAACACACTTCTTTGCCTACATACTATTTTTACTTCACCCCAACTCTAACAAAAAAAAGAGTTATTTTAGTTATGGTTACAGTAGCCTATAGCTACAAATATATTAATTCTTATAATTTAACCTTTTTTTGTTACAATATTAATTTACTTAATATTACTTATAGATTTTAAATAACCATTTTGACCAAGCTTAAACTATTCAGAGCACTACTAATTTTTTTTTTTTTTAAAGAAAAAAATTAAATTTTAAACAGGCTATTAATTATATTTCAGATGCATGGAATTTAGTTAATGAGAATATAATTAATAATTGTTAGAAAAAAACAAAAATACTTTCTACTATTAAAGAAGAAGAAATAGCTTATACTATGAAATTTCAAGAAAAAGAAAATTTACTTAACAATAGTAATCTTGATACTCTTTTAAATGAGTTACCTATAGAAGATAGTTATGCTGCTATACTTACTTCTGTGATAGTTAATTTTTTTAATAATATTAATCAACATATTGCAACAGATGAAATATTAACAAATGAGCAAATAATTACTTTTGTTCAGAATAAAGAACATGATAATGCAAATAATAATTCAGAAGATTTGGATAAAAAACCATCTGAAATATCTATACAAGAAGCTTATAATGCTTTAAAAACTTGGTTATCTTTTTTTGAAAAGCAATAATCTTTAGATTTTGATATAAAGATATGAAAATTTTAAAAAAATATTCTAAAATTATAAGTAAAATGTTGTTAGATTCAAAAAAACAAAGTTCAATTACTAATTATTTTCAAAAAATTTAGTAATTTTATATTTTATATTTTTTTTTTTTTTTTTTTTTTTGGTATTAAGGTGACCTCTTTGGTCTTTTGACTTTTATTAATCACTTATCGGTA